TTCCCTTGCTTAAGCTTGAAGACCACGTTTGACTTATTCACACGATAACCTATTAGTGGAAAAGATAAGAAAAATGACACAAACTGCTAGGAATTTAGAGACTGAAGGATAAGGAAGTCCAATTTCAGAACAATCAAGGTGATCATGCTTAGGCTTAGTACATTTAGATTCACTCATTGGGGAAGTAGGGGCACAAATATTTTTTCTGGTAACCAAAATGGATTAATTAACTTGACCCCTAAAACAAAGTTACTATCATTCAACCCTGTAAAGACCTTACATATTTCAGCCAGTAGGAAAAAGCACACAGACTACTGGGAGTTCTATACAGAGAAGTGTTTCTCACCCACTGAGACCAGGTGACCATAGTTTTCCAGCATTACATCTCGGTACAAGGTCCTCTGAGCAGGGGTTAGTAATTTCCACTCCTCCTTGGTGAATTCCACTATAACATCCTCTAATGTCACTAATCCCTGGAATAATATATTTCAGTTTAGTCTGAAGTATTTAAATTCAAGCATCATTGAAAGGGCACACAGGAAAAAAATACGTATCAGATACAAGATGGTCGCAAATGGAGGTAATTAATTGCATTTTGTATTATGTTAAATTTTATTAGGTGGTCAAAGTGACTGACATAGACTTTAGGAATAAAGAAAACACAACGGGCAAAGGCATAGATGCATGAGAATTGGCAAGTTGAGGAAAATGCATATTAACAGTCTGATATGAAATAAGAATGGAGAATAGGACCAAGATTATTTAGAAGATGGGGTCAGCAGGTGGTGTGGCAGTTAAGGGCACAGGACTCCCACAGGGCTGACTGCAGTTTGAGCCCTGGACTTGGCAGCTTGCTTTCTCACTTTCCCTCTCTCTGGTCAAATTAAAAAAAAAAAAAAATAAATAAATAAATAAATAAATAATTCTTTTTTTTTTTTTTTAAAGATCATTTAGAAGGTTGTAAAGTCAGTTGACAGAAAATTAAAAAATTCTTGGGACCATCAGTTGGCATAATGACTGTGTCGCTGGACTCTCATGTAGTCGACCATGGTTCGAGTCCCAGACCTGGTGGCTTAAACTCATACTGGGCATGTGTGCGTGTGTGCCCAAGATTCCGAGAGGAGAATGGAGGCGAAGGGATTGCAGCGTGGCCATCCTCCCTGGGGGGTGATTTCTCTCTTTCTGTCTCTCTGTCTCTATCTTTCTGGAGAGCGCACATACTCTATAACATAAACCTCTCAAAAGAAAAAAAAGGAAAAATTCTAAATTTGTCTTTGGGATCAGTAAAATATATTCTGCATACACATTTTATAAATTTCTGTTTATTAATATTACAATCATTTACATTTATTAATCTGATTATTAAAAGTTAACAAGCTATTTATTTTTAGTTTTGTTATCTAGCATGTGACATACCATAAAGAGACACACAGAGAAAGAGAGAAAGACAAAGTGAGAAATCACCCAGGGGAGATGGCCACACCCAGGGGAGATGGCCCCACCACAATCCCTTCTCTATTTTCCTCTTGGGACTTTGGGCATGCAGATGCATGTACCTGGTGTGTTTCTCAAGCCTCTGGTTCTGGGGTTTGAACAGTGCAGTTGATTTCTGGGTTCCAGCTGCCTTAACCACCACAATATCAGCTGGTCCAAGTTTTTTTTTTTTTTATTTTTTATAAGAGAAAAGTATGAATAGCTACCCTATTATTTCACACCATTTGATAGTCTTATCCATCTTTAGGATGTTCACACCTTCATGTTTTAAATGTAAATACAGACAATAAGGGCCATGGAAGAGAGAGATATTAGCACTGGAGTTATAGGAGTAGATTAGTTTTTTTAAAAAAAAGTTCTAAAATAGGGACCAGCAGTTAGCGTAAAGGCTATGTCGCTGGACTCCCACGTAGTCGACTGTGGTTCGAGCCCTGGACCCGGTGGCTTAAACTCACGCCGGGAGCATGTGCATACGTGCCCAAGATCCTGAGAGGAGAATGGAGGAGAAGGGATTGCGGCGTGGCCATCCCGCGGGGGGGTGATTGCTCGCTTTCTATCTCTCTGTCTCTCTCTGGCTATCTGGCGAGCGCACGCGCCCTATAGCAAAAAAAAAAAAAAAAACCTCTCCAAAAAAAAAAGAAAAAAAAAGTTCTAAAATAGAAGGGGCAAATGGTATATCAAAAAGGAAAAACAAATTTGAGCAACAAACATTTACATCAAAGCAACATTGTTGGGGGAGAAAAGTATAACACAATTTTGCACTTAATTAATCAATTAATAACCGCTGGCAGAAATAATGAAGACAGCTACTACAGTATCTGCATAGTTCAATAGTGGCTAGAGTCATAATGCCAAATTATTTCAACTATTAGAACTATTTAAGACTATAAGATTTCCTCTAATCCTTGCTTTGTTTATGTTCCATAGAATCTGAAATGCAGTATTTTTCTCTTGAAGAATATCTTGGCTGGATAAAAATTCTAGGCTAATACTTTTCCTCTTAAATTTTTTGAAAACGCTGGTCTTGTTTAACATGTTTATATGCTACTACTAAAAATTATGTCACTTTTATTTTCTTCCCTTGACACCTAATTTGGACGTTTCCCCTTGAGACTCAGATGACTATTTTTTCTTTACTTTTAAGTAAGTATAGTAGTTTTATTGGAGTTTCTCATGGCATTTATCATTCTGAGTCAATTCTCTCTGGCACAAAGAAGACCTTTTCAGTCTGTAGATTCAGTTTTTTCATGTACGACAGTTTCTTGGGACTACCATTTTCTCTTGGTTCTCTTTCACTGTTGTTTTGTTATTCAGGGATTCTACTCTTTCTTCTATTTCTATTACTCTCTTACCCAATAGCCATACAAAATACAAGAAGAAAGCAAAGATGAGAATTAACATTTTTTCAGTTGCTATATATCGCTCCATGGGCAGGGGTTGGGGTGGGGTGGCATGGCCTACCTAAGTGTTGGAAGAGTGACCCAGCTCAGATTCTCTGTTAGTTTTTGCCGCCTTAATTGTTGCCTCAGTGAAGGGACCAATTTCTGTTGTAATAGAAACTTAGACAATCATTAAATTTATTAATAGCAGAGCCTATGATAAAACTGAAGGTAAACTCTAGGTTCACTATATCACATTTAAGTCAAAACAAAGTTTTAGACAACTGTTTCTTTTTTTTTTTTTGAGAAATGGCAATTTAGGGACAAGAAACATGACATTTTGAGAACTTGGAAAGAATTTTCTAAATCTTATGGAGTTTACAATATTAATAGGAAAAATTGCTATGACATGTTACTTAAACACATTTTGTGTAACAATAAATACATCTCAACATCTAAATTTATGTACTATGGGGGTCAAGAGTGAATAAAGTTAATAATCTGTACTGTTTCTTTAAGGATATCTTTTTGTAAGTTCTGTGGTAGGGTTTTATTTTTGTTTTTGTTTTACTGTGAGTGACTTGTGAAGGAATATAATGATTATTAACTTGGTATAATTATCTTAACTCATGCCAAAAAGACAGCAATCTATTTACCATTATTTTCACATCATCAATGCAAATATCAACAGAGCGAAAGGCAACGTGCACCTTAGTATTAGGAATTATGATTTCATGGACACCTTGAGAGAGTCTTGGGGGCTCCCAGGAATCTGCAAATCACACTTTAGAGAACTTCAGTTTTATACAAACAGTTTTACTCCTGATTTAACTATTTCCACATTTATAGCTTAAAATATAAGTTCTCTTTCATAAAACTCATTAAATACATAAACACATAATGAAACAAAGTAAGGGCTAAATAATGACTCACCTGGAACTTGTTCATTTTCTGTTTGTCTTGGTAAAGAAAATCTATGAAGTCAGAGCAGGGAAGGTTTGAAGACAGGTTTCATAAAATACTTTATCTTGAATCTCCAGGAATCATCTGTGAGAAATTTCCATACAATTTTTAGTAAAATATGAACTTTTGGGAAAATATCCCTTTGATCCATCAGAAGGGACAGAAAGGAATATACTGAAGTAGTACTTACCTGTCTATCAGTGACTCTAATATAATCTTGATGAACTTGGAACATTTTTTTAGGTGAATATGTTTTTGTTTGTTTGTTTGTTTTTTTAAGCTTTTTTGCCATATTTGGTTACCAGAGATAGAGACAGAGTGAGAACGAAAGTGAGAAATCAATCCCCAGGGAAGATGGCTACACTATAATCCATTCTCCTCCATTCTCCTCCTGGGAGTTTGGGCACACATTCATGCACATGAACCTGGCCTGATTTCAGGCTTCTATGTCCAAGAATTGAACAATAGTTGGCCTCTTGGGAGTTTGGCACCTTAACCACTATGTCACCTGCTGTCTCCGTAGGTGAATCTAAACATTTCTTTCCCATTAGGTATTTTCAAAACTACATGTCTATTTATTGAGTAAAAGAATGGAACTGAATTATTTTTCTTTTCTATTTTTTTATTTATCAAAAACATCTTAATTTTTCCTGTATATTTCCGATATATAATTGTTTTTCTAATTTCTAGTTTTGGTCATCATTGTAACATCCATTCTGTAATATCTGGGAATACTTTTTACAACACAGTTGTTAACAGATTCAATTTATATTTATCTTCTTTATATCATATGAAACAAGATGTCAAAGTACACAGACTTAAACTTTCACTTAATAAATGCTTCAATATTTAGAAATAACTCAGGCGTTTTATTAATATTACTTAATTTATCATGACTTTAAGATTTAAACTGTTTTGAAAATGTTTTTAATGATTACTAGTTTAATTACAAACCTTTACTCCATTTACATTTATTGAATTCACTTGTTCATAACTATTATTTGAGTGGCTCAAAACAAGGCTAGTTATTTAAGCTATTTTCCTTTGGGAAAAAAAAAAGTAAAACCAAGCTAGCCCTACATCAGTTAGTCTCATCTTATCTAAAGACTGAATTACTGGACACAGAGATTTTCCTCAATGTTTCCCAAATTTTCCTATACCCTAAGTATCCATGTGGCACCCAGAATGACCATAAAGGACAGAGGCCATTTGGATCCTTGAGTCATATGCTGACAATTCTGAAGACATTTTAAATTTATATTTAACAATTTAAAACCAGCTTCATCAAAGATTTCACCCATGTCAAGTGAGCTTGAATAGCATTTGAGCCTATTCTTTTTTTTTCTTTTTAAAAAATTATTTTATTTTATTTATTCATTCACTTATTTTAATTTGACCAGAGAGAGACACAAAGAGAAAGAGAGAGAGAAAGTGAGAAAGCAAACCACCAGGTCCAGGGTTTGAACTGTAGTCGGCCATATGGGAGTGTCCCGCACCTTAACTGCCATGCCATCTGCTGGGCCCACGTTTGAGCCTATTCTAATCTATGAGAGTGCATTTAAATCAATATATTATATATATATATATATATATACACACACACACATATATACACACACACATATATACACACATACATGTAAACACAAGATAATACGTATATGTGTACACATATATAATACAAAGAATTTTAGCTTTTACTTTAGAATTTTAGCAATGAGACAGTAAAACTCATCAGATTGAAAGGACAGTTTGATTCAAACTTTATCTCTGTACATGGAATAAGTTGGTTTATATGTCACATATAAGCTAAAGACTTCTATCTAATTCCCGAGAAGGCAGGGTAAGGAATTTGCATCTTAAAGACACAAATAAAGAATGCTGACCAAAATGGATACCAGGGAAACATAAAATTATAGAAATTTCTCATAAGATTTTACTAAGTATGCAGATGGCCTAGAACTAGTTACCAAGTACACTCAAATAGAAAGCTTTGTCTCTTAGAATTTCTTGACTAACTTGGGGACTAACAATTAGCGTAATGGCTATGTCACTGGACTCCCATGTAGTTGACCTTGGTTTGAGTCCTGGACTTTGTGGCTTAAACTCACACCGGGTGGGCATACGTGCATGCCCAAGATATTGAGAGGAAAATGGAGGAGAAGGGATTGTGGTGTGGCCATCCCCCTGGGGGGTGATTTCTCACTTTCTGTCTCTTTGTCTTTCCGGCGAGCCCACGCGCCCTATAGCAAAAACCTCCCCCCCCCAAAAAAAAAAAGAAAAGAAAAAGAATTCCTTGACTAATTTAGCCAGGTACTTCACTCTGTAGTATAAATTGTCATTTACTGTCAGTTTGCCTGAATGAGTCAGAGATTTGAGACTTTTTCTAAATAAAAGCAATGTTAAAGAATAAAAAGTAAAGAACATCAATTTCATACAGTAATTGGCATACAACCAAAGACTGAATGTCCACTCACTGTATAAAAGTAACTTTTTTTTTTTTGAGAGGTTTTTGCTATAGGGCACGTGCGCTCACCAGAAAGAGAGAGACAGGGAGACAGAAAGTGAGAAATCATCTCCCGGGGGGATGGCCACGCTGCACTCCCTTCTCTTCCATTCTCCTCTCGGGATCTTGGGCACACACACACACACACACACACACGTGCGCCCGGTGTGAGTTTAAGCCACTGGGTCTGGGACTCAAACCACGGTCAGCTACATGGGAATCCAGTGACATAGCCATTACGCTAACTGCTGGTCCCTAAAAGTAACTTTTGATACCCCAACAGCTGAAGTGATAAATGAGTTTAATGCAAAAGAGTGCAGCACTCCAGACCTGAGAAAAATACATAAAGAACAAGTCCTGAAGAGATAATTGCAGTTAGCAGGACATTCAAGGAGAAGGATTCAGTTGATTGAAACATGGCTATGAAAACAGGATTTAAGAGAAAAAAGAAACTTAAAAAATGGGTAGCCTGAATAGGTTTTGATATCTGTTTGATGTTTTCAGTTCAATAAACAGGTTTCTTTCTTTCTGAATAGTTTCAATTGCCCCTCAATCCTACAGGTAAGTCTAAATGTCCACAAATGTACATACATTCACATATGCACGTACACACTTTTATCATGTTCTAAACAGAAAACAAAATTTAAATCTGAACTAAACAAGACTCAGATTATTCCCAAAGATAGGCAAGCAATAGAAAAGCCTTGTGAGTGACACATGAGCAAAAACCCATGTTTAGTCTGTTCATACTCTGGGATCCCAAAATTGGTTGGCCATCTCCATGTAAGGCCCAAGGCCCTGTGCACCTGCTAGATGGAGACAACAGAAGTTGCTTATAGGAGAGAAGAGGATTACTAACAGAAGGTACCCTGAAGACTCTCCAAAGGTTTACTTATTTTAATAACAATACTGACCTAATTCATAAAGCCTCTTCATGAAGAGCAGAGACTTTCCCTAAGGGGACATAGAATAGGGAATGTCTTCCCCAGCCATCCACCCAAATTTGCTCCCACAAAAGGACTAAGGAAGCAAAAGGCCCTGTTTCCACAAAGAATTCCTATCACTAAGCAGTCAACAAAGAGTTGAAAACAAAACCCCTTATGGATGAGAGTCCTTATTAAGACCAACTATATATATATATTTTTTTTTTTGAGAGGTTTTTGCCATAGGGTGCGTGCGCTCACCAGACAGACAGAGAGAGACAGAGAAATAGAAAGCGAGAAATCACCCCCCAGGAAGGGATGGCCATGCAGCAATCCCTTCTCCTCCATTCTCCTCTCGGGATCTTGGGCACACACGCACAAGTGCCTGGCATGAGTTTTAAGCCACCGGGTCTGGACGCGAACCACAGTCAACTACATGAGAGTCCAGTGACATAGCCATTATGCTAACTGCTGGTCCCAAGACCAACTACTGACAGCTTGACACATTTGGTATAAAAAGTGCACTCTGAGAAATCTTACATGGCTTGCGTTCATGGTCTTCTCAAGCTAGCCACCTTAAAATCACACCCTGAAATGGCAGGGACTGAGAGAGAATTCCCATTTGGTCACAGTTCAAGCTCTCAAAGGTATAAGACAGAAAAGGTTCATCCAATTTGTTTTGGAAACCCACAGCCAGGTTTGTCCAGATAGCTACTGGTCTGATAAGAATTGCAAAATTTGTCAGCCTGTGGGTTCAGAGCTTTAACAAAGTTCTAGGCCAGTGTTCTGCTCTCATGAGGACATGACACAGAAATAGGAATCATTTCTAGGCAGAGAAAAAAACAGACAGTGAGTATTCACACCAGAAAAACAATGTGGTTACTATACCCAGACAAGACTATTTCATACAAATCCTTCTCCCATTAACTTTTAATTTTGAAGAATTATTTAATTTTATTTATTATTATTATTTTAACATGACTGAAAAGAGACAGAGACAGAGAGACAGAGAGAGAGAGAGAAAGGGAAAGTAAGAAAGCATGCTGCCAGGTCTTGGATTTGAACCACAGTGGGCCATTTGGGAGTCCAGCACCTTAGCCACCAGGGCACCTACCAGCTCCTCTCCCATTAATCTTAACTTGGAAGAGAAACAAAACAAGTGATTTTTACTGTCTACTCAACTGAATTGCACAGAGAGCAGGAGTCCAACTGGTAAGAAGTTCTTACCCATTTTTGCTCACTTGTCAGGTCCTGAATTCTCTTGACTGTGATTTCCAGAAGAGCTTTGGTTTACCCTGCTCACCACGACAAATCTATAGGGACCAAGGAAATCGCCCTGAGGTTCACTGAAAACCACTGACCGAAGAGGCATATCAGTAAAGGAAAAGGCACGCAGACATTTAATGTCTACCAATGCACATGGGAACCTCACAAATTGCTCCTCCAAGAAAGGCCAAACCACTGGAAGTTGTATACTCTGAAGGGCAAATGAGGTCCAGAGTTATGTTAGGAATGGGTGAGGGGAAAAAATGGAACCCTTCCCTTTCTGGGCTAGGTGTCATAGTTCTAATCTCTTTTTCCCCATTTCAAGAAAAGGCAGAGGCGTAGCATCAGAAAAGACTACTTAGATTTGTTAACTTTACTGATATAAATTGACACAAACAAGTTACTTCTGTGCCTGTAGACCCTCTAACTATTAATAAAATACTAAGCATGTTACTTTTATTTTTCCCACAAAACAATTCTAATCGGAAAATATTCACCTAATTTAAATACCCTTTCCTTGGTCATTGTTCCCTGGATCCTAGGAATCACTGGGGCTAGATAGTGTTACAATAAGAGTTATTTATTTTTTTCATTTCCTTAGAATCATAGCTAAAAGTTCTTAATTCAGCAAAATACACCCTAGGGGCTGCAAGATTGAATATAGCTCTCTCTTGATCACCCAGAATGTTATCTTGTCCTACAAACAAAACTTAAAAAATCAAATGTACAGGTTACCAAATTTCCAAATGTCCTCTTAGGGCTTCTTGTCCCTGTAACTAAAGGGGGAGATCGCACTGCACAAACATTCTGTTGAAGCAGAAACCAAGTGTCTAAAGGGATGCTTAGCCAAATGGAGAAAAGCCCACCAAACAAATGCTCTGCCAAAACAGAAATAAAATATTTACAGGGAAAGACAGAACTTGATATCATCATATGCCAGCCCCGCAACCTACCATTTATCAAATCCAATACAATGCCTATGTCCTTCACCACAAAACTGAAATTGCTGTGAGTCAATGACACTTGGTCACCACCCAGTCACCTAAGACTGTCCCTGAGACAAGGTGCTCAGGAAGTTGCAGGATGAGTTCCATGGGTGGTCACTGGCCAAGGGCCACTGAACCTTGGGTGAGAAGCCCACACAGGACTTTGTCCCATAGTGGCTTGCTAATAAACTGTTACCGAACTCAAATCAGGTTCACTTGCTCAAGCACTACAAACCAAACTGTAGGCACAGATGTAATGAAGGAAAGGAGTACAGCTTTATTGCAATAGGCAAAGCAAGGAGAGCAGGTGGCTGCTCATGCTGAAAAGACCTGGTCTTCAGAACTGAAATGCTAAACACCAAATAATAGAAGAATAGTTTTAAAAGAGGAACCCTATACAGGCATAAAAAATGATGTTGAAGAGATATATTTATTAATACCCCAAATGGGTTTAAGTTACATGTCATAACCATGTTTCCTATTAATATTATAAACCCCACAAAATGAGTCCTTTCACTCTTTTTGTTTTTGAGAAAGATTTTTGCTATAGGGTGTGTGCACTCATCAGAGAGACAGAGAGAAACATAGAAAGTGAGAAATCACACCCCCCCCCGGGGGGGGCAGGTCAAAATCTCTTCTCCTCCATTCTCCTCTTGGGATTTTGGGGACACATGTGCATGTGCCTTGCATGAGTTTCAAGTCACCAGGTCTAGGCCTCGAACTGCAGTTGTCCATGTGGGAGTCCAGGGCCTTAACCACTATACCACCTGTTAGCCCCTAGAAAGTCTTTTCAAAGTTCCTAAAATATCACTTTTCTTCTCCCTGAAGTACAATTTCTCACACCAAAACAAACAAAAAACCCTTCTCTAAAACTTTGTTTTGACTAAATATGATATAGTGACCCTGGAAACTTCGGTTTTACCATAGACTCTGCTACTAATAAATTTAGTGTTTTAAGTGTCTATTACCTTCAGATGAAGAGGAATTAGATAATGTTGAATAACCTTTCATCTGATACTGTAAGTCTTTAACCAGAATTACAAATCTAGACTGTACCCTGGAATTAACTATCCTCTTAAAACTTGGGCTGGGCCTAGGGTAAAATTTAATCACATCTTGACAAACTCTGACATGACCATCTAATGTAACAGTGACATAAAAATCTAGCCTTTATTTTTATCTTTTAAAGAGAGATTTTTGCTATATGGCATGTGCACTCACTGGAGAAATTGACAGAAAGTGAGAAATCACAACCCCCCCACACAGAGGGGTTGACCATGTTACAATCCCTTCTCTCAGGATCTTGGGCACACCCACATACGCACCTGGTATGATGTTTAAACCACAGAGTCTGGGGCTTACACTGCAGTTGACCATGTGGGCATCCAGCGATATAACCATTACGCCATCTGCTGGTCCCACAAATCTAGCTCTAAAATCATAGTTTGGCACTGTAACTCCCAAATATGCACTCCACATATGTAGCAAAAGACATCTGGATGCCATAACCTCAGATCCTTTTCAAAAGCAAAGAAACTACTTTCAGCCAGCCTGGTGATTACATAATGCCCAGTTAATAAACCCATATACTACCAGCTAATCTGAGGCATTATGATCTCAGCATCATAATACTGAGCATGGAGGAACTGTTTTCATTTTTTTAAAAAAGTGTGTCCTATTTCTTCTCTTTAGAGACTAGCTTAGATAGGATTAGACAGTATTCCCACATTATCTAGTAAAATCTAAAATTGAGAGCTCAAATTGTGGTTTCAATGTAGAGAGACAGGTTGGAGGATACTAGGTAACCTTTTGCTTCAAGAGTTCTAAGGAAGCCCCAAGAATTTTTGAAAACAGAACACTACCTGCTAACATTGGGTTTCTATTCTGGTGGCGGTAAGAGTCTACCGCTGTGATTGACTACAAGTCAAGACCCGGGACTTGAGTGTGGGAAAGAGCATGAATTACAGAGTAAAACAAGTGAGAATTTAAATCCCACCTGAGAATAATGGGTTAGCCAATTTCTTTCTAAACCTTTAGCCTGCTCATTAATTAAAATGGTTAACACCAATCTCAAGAACGGTTGTGATGATCAGATAAGGCAACAAGCAAATCAACAGCCTTTGTACTGAAAAGGCAGCTCCCTTTTATTGAGACCTACACACTTTCTATGCAAAGGGCCCTAAGTGTCATCGCCACCGTCAGCAGAGGAGGACCGAGGACCGGTGTCCACCAAGACGACCCGGTCCGTCTGTCCGCGGCGCGGGACGAGAGCCCGAGTGAAGTCTCAGACGCCAGGCCAAGAGGCGGGCCAGGGCTTCGCGCCGCACAGGCCGCTCCCTCGGGCGTCCCTCTCCGCGGTCCCTGTCGCCCCAGGCTCCCTCAGGACGCCCCCCGAGGCGGGTCGCAAACACACAGCTCCCGGGGAAGGACGCGCAGGCGACACTCGGCCTCCGCGGCGGCCCCCGCCCGCAGCCCGCTCCCGGGCCTCTCCCCAGGCCGCCGCCGGCCCCACGTGCCCAGCCCCGCCCTCTGCGGCTCCGCGGAGACCAGGAGGCTGCGCGCCCACTGCCTCCCGGGGCGAGAACTGACAGTGAGTCGGGGCCGACGGCGCACGCGCAGAACTCGGCCCCTGCGCGTGCACTTCCCAGAAGCCTCGGCGGCGCCACGGCGCGGCGTGCCACGCAGGGAGGGGAGAGTGCTGCTGTGACGGCGGCTGCCCCCGGGGACGAGAGCCCGGAGCCGCGAGCCGGGAACCGAGGACAGCCTGGGCAGGTGGTGCGATGAATGCCGTGGGTTGTTTAAGCACTTGGAATTAAGTATGGGAGTGTGTTCAAAGCACGTAATGTCTGACTTCATCTTAGGAATGCCAGCTTTCAAAATTGTGCAGATGGTCCATGAAACATGTAATAAACTAGAAAATATGGACAAGCTAAAGCAGAAGACAAGTGTCACGTACTACTTCTTAAAAGAAAAAAAATACTTAATGTTAGGTGTATATTCTGTTCAGAATTTTACACAATTTTATCCTAGTTGTGTGTAGTATATTGCGACTACCATTTCACTAAGGAATATATACAGGGTATGAGTTTTATATATTTCTTGGTCAATAACGTTATGACATCATTTTACTCTGTCAACAATAGGAATGCATTTCCATTAAAAATAATTACAAAAATACTATCCTTTCATGATAAAATTATTATTATTATTTTTGGAGAGGGTTTTGCTATAGGGTACGTGTGCTCTCCAGAAAGACAGAGAGAGAGAGAGACAGAGAGACAGAAAGTGAGAAATCATCCCCCCCACCCCCCCAGGGATGGAATCTCTTCTCCTCCATTCTCCTTTCGGCGGGGGGTGAGTTTAAGCCACCAGGTCCAGGACTTGAACCATGTTTGACTATATGGGAGTCTAGCGACACAGCCATTATGCCAAATGCTGGTCTTGATAAAATTAAATTTTAAAGATCTGAGATCTATATATGTAATCTATGTGTGTGTATATATACACACGCATATACACATGTATATATACACACACATATATATCTTTCTTTTTGAGAGAGAGAGATTTTTACTATAAGGCGTGTGTGCTTGCTGGAGACAGAGAGACAGAAAACAATAAATCAACCCCCCCCTCCCCAGGTGGAATGGCCACGCTGCAATCCCTTCTTCATTCTCCTCTCGGAATTTTTGGTGGGCATGCACATGTGTCCGGTATGAGATTTAAGGCACCAGGTCCAGGACTCAAACTGTGGTCAACTATGTGGGAGTCCATTGATGTAACAATTATGAAATAATATATATATATATATTAAAGTCTCTTGCCAACCCAGAAAATCTTCAGATGAAGAAAATAATAAAACAGTTTTGTTATTGAATAAACATTAAACCTGACTGTGATGAGCATCATAGACATTCCATTGCAAGACAGAAGAAAATACCACATTTTCCTATAGCTAGGCGGGTACAATCCTATTACATGATCTCAAGAGAAAAGATAAGTTATCCTCAAGAAAGGACTAGAAAATGCCACTTGGTGGACATAATTTATTTGGTAATTAGGGTTGCTGTTCTAGTTTATTCTGTTGCTAATAACAGAAAATCCTTGAAACTGGGTGATTTATAAGAATGGAGGTTTATTCAGTTCATGGTTTGGAGACCTGAGGTCCAGGAATGACAGCTGGTGAGAGTCTTCTTTCTGATGGGTCACATGGAAAGATAAAGCAGCATATGAACACACATATCTAAGTGTATGTGTCTCTGTCTCATTCTCTCTCTTTATAAATCTACCAGGAAATAAATCCTGGTGGCCCCACCCTGTTGACTTTATTCCTAATCTCCTAAAGGACCCACGTTCCACACCATAGTTGGATTAAATTTTTACGCTCCTAGTCCTGTCACAACCAAATCTTAACACATGAATTCGGGGGGATCATATTCAAACGATTGACCCTGCCCCCCCCAAATTTATGTATACAAAATTATCCCAATAGTCTTAATTCTTTTCACTATCATTTCAGTATCAAAAAATCCAAAGTTCATAATCTGAGACTCAAGATAATTTCCTTTTAACTTTGAGCCTGTGAAGTAAAAACAAATTACATGCTTCTAAAATACAGTGGCAAGCTAGGCATAGGATAGAATTTCTACTGTGTAAGAAGGGACTAGCAGATGCCACACAATTCCAAAACTCAAGAGGGCAGACATTAGATTTTTTTTTTTTGAGAGAGATTTTTGCTACAGGGCGTGTGTGCTTGCTGGAGAGACATAGAGAGACAGAGAGAGACAGAGAGACAGAAAGTGGGAAATCAGCCCCGAGGGAGAATGGCCATGCCATAATCCCTTCTCCTCCAGTCACCTGTTGGGATTTTGGGCATGCATAC